TAAAGTTAAATTAGATGTATTTTTTGTTTTGTTGGTCATGATTTTACCTTTATTTTTTTAATTTTTATTTTGGAATGACTACATTCATTCTGAGAACTACATGTTCTCTATAAATAACTCATGTCTCACAAAGTGGGTTATTGTATAAATGTGTCATGAGGAACAACTTTTGAGAACTAAGTTTAATGCTCTTGTTGATGGAGAATGTGTTTGTGTATGTTTACGAATTTTACGTTTAAATGGTTCAATAAATTAGAGCTGGAGTAAATGTCTTAAGTTATTGTGGAATTGGTTTTGGCCATGTCTTGCTTAAAAGAATTTCAAATTCTCTACTCTTGAAGCTTGATGATTTATGATTTACTTTTCAATTATTTTGTTACAAAGTTTCTTTGTTCTTAATTCTATGTATTTCTATCTATTTTAATAGAAATCCTTAGAATTTTTCTCTTGCCAAGTTCAAGTTCATGTGAGACCAGCTAAACTGTTTGTAGCTAATTGAAAAATTGATGTCATAGTGGGAAGATTAGCATTGATGTTTCTCCTCTCTTCCCATCTGTCCAAAAAAAGGATTCTCAGTATCTCTTTCATAGAAGAAACCTGTTTTGTTAGCACACCTGAATAAACCAGTTCTGATGTAACCTTGTTTTCTTAGTCTCTGATGTTCCCATCTGAATGGACATGTGCATTCCTCATTGATTGTCCTAGCTCCTAAATGTCAGTATTTTGTGAATGGCAGGTAAATGGTTCAAAAATAGTAGGCCCTTGTATAGATATGATTTGTCTTAATATAGACAAATGGGAAACATTTTTTTGGTAATTGATAAGTCGTTAATCTTTTGGAGGTGGACTAAATGACTGTTCTGATGATATATTCACTATCAATTTGACCATATTGTGGGATGGTTAGTCAGTTATGGAACCTGTATGAAAGACATATTACAGGAGTTCTAATTGTTAGTGAAAAATGACCAGGAGCCAATAAGAATATATACTGGTAGGTTTTTGATATTTAGTCAGAAAATAGTAACTTTTGGGAGATGATTACTTATTGCCAGTTAAGGCAAACATAAAGTAACTGGATCTGTCAACTATAAAAATAAAAAGTATAAAATCATAAAATTATGTTAATTGTCAGCTGCTACTGCTGCAGTGACATAGACATGTTGATAACCTGGAGAACCATGAAAAATGGATATATTATCTTGTAAGATAGAAAAAAAAAAAAAAAAAAGGGGAAAAAATGGAAAAGTGAATCTAACCAGTTTAACTCATAGGTGCAGGTTTTTATGCAACTTTCTGATTGATATCTTGATGATTGAAGTGCATATTAAGCTTCCTACAACTTAAAACATTGACTAGCAGCATTGGCAATCTCATGTTCGGATGAGATGATTTTAGACTCTTGATGGCATCTTGGTTTTTGTTGGTGTTGGTTCAGAAGAGAAGTGAGGAACTTGCTTGTGTGGCTGGGGAACAGGTGGAATCTGTTGGCCCTGTTGGAAATAAAGGTATTCTCAGTTCAAAAGGAGGTGGTAACTTGGCACATCAATTTTCTGTGAACAGCAGGAGTATTATTTACATGGATGAATATGATTCTTCTTTTGCAACTCTAAACATAGTATGTCCTCTTAATAACTATTCTATTAGCATTATGTTACATGTTTTGGAGCAAATTTTCCATTGCTTGCTCAGATTAACAATTGTCGTAATATTGATCTCATGTAGGCAGTTATTTGGTTCCATCTCCATGAATATGCTAAAGCATTATCAGTTCTTGAACCTCTTTATCAAAATATTGAACCCATTGATGAGGTATGCTACATCTGCACTGCTATCCTTTTCTTTGTAAATTTGTTGTGGTGAGTTAATTGCTTTGCTTCCCTTTTTATGATGTGCAGACAACGGCTCTTCATGCATGCCTCTTGTTGCTGGATGTTGTGCTAGCTTGCAATGATGCATCAAAATCTGCTGTAAGTTATAAATATTTCCGACATGACTACTTGCAATCATTTTTCATTTGGAATCTTGAAGTGTTTCCACTGTCTATATGATTTAAAATCCTTTAGAATCATGCTGCCTTTTTAGATTAGTGTTATACTTTACTTACTATATCAATGTTCATTATATTATTTATTATGTAATTATAAGAGAATGCTCCTCCTTGTGTTTATTTTTTTTTGAAGGATTCGCATCACATGTATTTTTCTTTATAATTCCAACGGTAAACTGGTCTTGCAGCTTTTAAATAATCCACTATTGCACCTGTATTTGAGTGTATCAATATATTATTTACCACATCATATATGGCATTTAAGAATGAAATTCTCCTTTAACTACAAAACTAAGAGAAGTCAGTCCCTTGAAAGTCCTAACCTCGCAAGCTTTACATTTTGTTTAATTTATTCCATTTCAATATTTTGTTAGGTACCCACTAATGCCAAAGCCTTGATTTTGTCAAGGTCAGAGGTTCAAATATGCAATAGTTAAGCACTCACTTCCTTTGCTGCACAAAAAATAAGTAATTAGTATTTCAAACTACTCAGTGCATCATACATGAAAGGTGAAATTCACTGGAAAACATCTTTCACATGCTATGTTCCTGCAACAGTTCAATATTGTAGTATTCCTGAATGTATCACAATTGATCTAGGACAGAAGCAAAAGTGAGGAGAGAACTTAGAAACAGAGCCAAGGGTGGGAAGAAAATAGCAGAGTTGGGTTTTTTGGAAGACAATTTCATTTCAACCTATGAACTATATAACCCTAATATGAACTACGCTCAAATAGAAAACCTTGGACTTTACATCCTAATTAAATTTTTAGTAGCAATCTTTATTGAAAGTTAATAACCACTCCTAATAAATATAAACTATTAGAGTATGCCGTGCAAGCCAACTAGGTTAGTAGAACAATCTTATATACTTGTGATTACTCTCATTATATTTATGACATTCTTTATCGGATATTAACTATTATTCTTCTGCAAACGTTAAATATCGATAAAGTTCTTAAGATGTTTGCTACATCAAAAGGTAATAGCAGTCATTGCTGTTAATGAGAACTGTATAATGTGATAGCAACATTCTTAAATTGTCCAATAGTCATATATATCATTAAGATGGGACATTAATAATATCAAGACTATTATGTGTGATACTTTGCTAGGTGGCAAAACTTCTCATAGAGTCACGTATCACGTGTGAGTGCACTGGACTAACCCGGTATGAGAACTCTACATGCATGTGTCATTAGTAGTTTCTCAGCTATAATGCAAGTGTAAGTGATTCTTTGAGTTGAGATTGTTATTATTCTATGTGAAGACTTGTGTACTTTAATGTTGTTGAAAACAACCACTTTAAGGGGTTGTAAGTAATAAATTATTAGAGGCATTACGAATCACATGAGAGTAATGAGTAAGTCAAGATAAGATTTGTTTTGATTGAAATGAGACTACTTGTAAAGTCTATGGCCATGGCAAGAATGAAGGTTCATTCAAGAAGTATGTCTATCGTGGAAATCAAAGAAAGGTAGATCAAGCTATAAGAATGGTGACACATAGAATGCCTCTTGCATGGTAAGCCAGTGACAAAGGAATTGAATTACATAAGTGCATCGGTTATAGGAAGGTTTGTTGAAGCCATTACCTCTATCACTTTGGATTGTTATGATACGTTTCTAGATACCACTCTTGGTTTGTAAGTGTTACTGTCGTGATGGAAACCTATAGGGTCACACACTTAATGTGTTTTGGGATTAGAATTTTTTATAAATTCAAGCTTATAGATATGGATTAATTTATGTGAAAATTGCATTTTCTTGTAAAATAAATTAATCAGGTTTTGGGTTAATTTAGTAGATTAAGTTTGGATTTGTTTGAAGTCAAGGACAAGAAAATCCAAAAGTGACAATTAAGTCCTTGGAGAACTCTATGGCTGAAACCCTAACCCATTGGGGTTGGAGCCCTAGTCGAATTTCAATCCAATATGGATTGGAGTGTGTGGCAAAAAGGGAAAAAATAGGGAAGGAAAGCATTCTCTTTTTGAGTTTTTTACTTTGGTAATTCTAATTGGATTAGAATGACAAGTCTTATATTCCTATTAATTAATATAAATAGGTGTAGAAAATCCTAAATCCTTGATAGAGAATTTTCCATATAGATTTTTTTAGGCCACTAAATTCATTCTACCAAAACCTCAAAGAATAACAAACCGACTTTCAAAGACTCAGTCTTCTTCAAATCCTTGAGCATACTTGTGGATGATTGCTAATAAATTCTACACTTGGATTCTTTGGGAGCTTCGTTAGAGAATAGTGGCTAGATCTACACATCAACAAGGCATGCATTATTGAGGTGCTGACCATAAACCCTTCTTTAACTGTTAATGGATTGATAAGAATGCTAGGCAGGTTAAAAGAGGACAAGATTCAATTTTTGAAATTTTTGCTTGTGCTGTGCCCCTCCTAAACCCAACATAAACTACTATGAAATATTGTGATTTTGTTCCTTGATATTCATAATCATAATAAAATCCTAATAAATATATTATTTCCTTATCTACATCATTCTCCTCCACTTGGTGAAGACTAGTCCTCAAGGAAATAAAGGAAACCAACCTTACCTTAGCAACAGTTGAAGCTTGAATTCTTCTTTGAAACCCAACAAAATTGGTGAGAAAGAAGCGACTTTATCTTCAACTTCTATGGGGAAGAAGAGGATGAAGTCAACCACTTGGACAGCTTCAAAGGAAGGGAAGGGAAGAACGCGACAGCATCCAAGCTCTGGTCAGGACTTCCATCACAAGCCACTTCATCATTGAATCCATCTGGTTCTTGAAGTTCTTCATGTGGCTCATTTGGTTCTAGTTCTTGTTTAGAAGAATCAGAACTTAAGAAGAAAGATGCTAAGTACCCACCAAGTTCATTTCATTACTTTTCTTGGTTACAGCCTTGGCATTCTCCTTTAATTCCTTCTGACTTCCTTTGTTAAGAGGATCAATCTCGGCTGCTCGTTCAACAAGGTTGCCTGTGTCTTCTTGGGCTTCATGTAGATAGGTCTCAAGCTTGGTAGCACTATTTCAAGTACTGTTGCTGCCAACTCTTGAGCGACAGGTTTGAAGGATCATTCACTTCAGTTAGTGGTGGAGAAAACAACTCCATAGAAATGTCTTCACTTTCTTCTATCAAGAGTTAGAATGGCTTCCATACAAGAAAACACATTATGTGAATAGCGATCTCAAAATGACATTTGAGAATAATGCCCCTATTCAAAAATCAATTCTTCACATTCAAGGTCGAACAACATCGTTCACCATGATTCTCAAGATTGATAACATATAATACATGTAGCTGGATTCATCAAAGAAACTATCAAATGATGAAACAAGTGAAATACCCGTTTCACCTTGACATTATCATATGAGGCATATGGCATTAATTCTCATTATTTCACTAGTGCAAACTGAAACTGTAATTCAAACATCAACATCTGAATGATGAAAAAGTTGCTCTTGAACCAAAGCTTGCAGTGATGGAGACAAGGAGTATTGACCTTGAGACTGTCCCACTTTTGAAAAAGAATTCCATAATACTTCTGGTATAGGAAGTTGTTCATCAACAGAGGAAGCAGGTCCAAAAGAGCATAACCTAGTTCCTCTTGAATGCTTCAAAAGATACGATGTTCACTATGTAAAACTATAGAAAAACATTGTCAAAGCCACTGACCTATCGAAAACTGTTATTTCCAAGCAGAATTTGACAAAACAGAGCTCAAAAGTGGATTCAGTGTGTCAGAAATAGGAAATATGGCTGATGTGGCAGTGGTGCTGACATGGTCCTTTTGTAGCTGATGATGTGATGCTGAGATAGCCTGATGATGACAATCTGGTTGGACATGTCAACCCAAAAAGATCTAGGACTGGCAAACAGCAATCAGGTTGAAGATGGAGCGGAGTTTGACAATTGCTGCAAATGGCTTCACAGTATGGACTTGTTGGACCCAGAGAGCATAGGCATGTTGATGATCTGTTCCAACTGTGCTTCCAGGGGCAAGGTCGCTGGTTGTATCTGAGATGCTGCCTGGCTTTGATTCTTGGGTCAGATGTTGGCTTCAATGGGGTTCTGATGTGAGCACTAGCTTTCGAGCAAAATTTAATTTGCTTTTTCCTTGTTTCTGTCCTTCAATTGATTTTTTTAGTTCTTTTAAGTGCACAAATTGGTCTCAAACTTCAAGCAAGATTAGTTCAATTTCAGCCAAGGCCATAGAAGCTGTTGGTTTTTTCTTTTGTTGGGTTTCTATATTTTTTTTTCTTTATTGGAACAAATTATGTGATTTTATTTATGGAGGAAAATGGAAGCTTGTGGTTTGTAGGATTTTGGTAGCTCTGATACCAAACTGACATAGGACAGAAGCAAATATTATAAGTGGACTTGGAAATAGAGCCAAGGGTGGGAAGAGAATATTTGAGTTGGGGATTTTGGAAGACAATTTCAATTCAACTCATAAATTGCATAACCCTAATACAACCCGTGCCTAGATGGAAAACCTGAAACCCTAACTAGACTTACTTCCTAAATAGATTCTTAATGGGAATCTTTATTGAAAGAAAATAACAACTCCTAATAAATATAAACTAATAGTAAATATTGCCATTTAATTCCTATATATTCATAATCATAATAAAATCTTAATAAATATATTATTTCCTTCATTATCAGCATCAACTATCCATATAGGCTAAGAAATAAAATATGGAATAAAATTTGTGACGATGTAAAACTTCCATCCACAGCCCTAACCCCTCCTGCTTTGCCTACTCAAACTTGTGCTGGGAAAAAACTGTTTATTCCTAACATAAAAGAGAGAATTTATGACCCTTTCTTTTCTTTTCCTCTCTTGTGAGACAGCATTTTTGCTTATAATTTCTATTCTTTTTCTTTTCTTTACATTTTTGTCTCTTTTTATTTAGATGACATGCTTGTTTACTGGACCGTCTGTGTCACTGTGATCAGTTACAGTTTTTAGAGTTTGCATTTATATGCCCTTGACTTGATCTGGAATTCTGGAATTGTTTGTGTCTGTATGCAAGTAGTATTGGCGTTGTCATCACTTACAGATTTTAGAGTTGCATTTATTATGCCTTCAATGTGATCTGGAATTCTTGAATTATTTTACCTTTTTGGGTTTGTGATAATTTGCTAGTTATCCTGAAAAAAGACCTCATAATGTGAGATGTGTTCATCCTGTTTTTTTTCCTTTTTTTTTTTTTTAAAGTATTTGAAGGAGGTTGTGCTTTGTAAATCAAACTAGTGGTTGTTGCCTCGCTACATGCGGGATTTTCCTCTAAATTTATATTCACTGATTTGATTATCTTTTATTTTGTGGAGGGATAGAGCAACTTTTGATAGATTCTTCACCAATTCTCAAAGGAAAGAGGGATTCCACCTTTTTTTCTTTTTTTCTTTTTTTAGTAAAAATGAGTGGTTCATTATTTGGTATAAGTTTATTGATCTATTAATTTGAAACTTAGAAGGATGATACAGTGAGATTCATTGTGAATTTAAATTAAAAATTTAATAAGGTGAAGTTTGAATTCCAAATAAATGACCTAATGAAAAGAGTTTTTGTTATATAAGATTCAAATTAGATTTAAGTGGGATTTTTCAATTTTGTTTATCTTGTGGATAAAGCAAGAATTTTAATTTGAATTCATTTAGTTTTCAGTTTTTGGCTAACAATGAAAAGTAAATGGATAATCATCATTCTAATTTAAAGAAGAAAGAATAAAAATATCCAAATAAGATCACAATTTGAAATTAAATAAATAAAAAAAAAGAGATTAATATCAGCTGATAAATAGAAGGGTAATAAAGACACTAACAAAATTTTAGTCCTTTTTTAATTTTTGAGCCTTAATGGCAGCAAAATTTAGTAAGTAGGATTGATTTGTGAGTTGCCAACTTCTCTTTTCTCCTTGATTCAAACATACCTTTTTATTAGTTTTAACTATTTTGGTTCTTTAATTAGTTTCCTGATTCTTTCAAACCTGTTTCTGACCAGAATAGATTGACATTTTTGCAACCTCTAGTTTTATCTGGTCATATCTAAATTTTTCTTGTGATCCCTTCTTTTCTAGCTTTAAAATTTAAGGGGTTCCAATTATTATGTGGTGACAAGATGATTATTAACATCTGTTCTACTTTGCCATCTATATCCCGTATTTTTCCATGTTTGTCAACTGCTACGGTTTAATGTGTACAAGTTTTTAGTTTGTATTTGTATCTTTTGAAATTGAGTGCTAAAATGCTGTCCATAATCTTCAGGATGTACTGAATTATCTAGAAAGAGCATTTGGTGTTGGTAGTGTGAGTCAAGGAGATAATGGTAGCTTGGTGATGCAACAATCTATTAATCTCATTGCAAAATCAGCCTCCATTCCATGTAGCTCATTGGTGACAGATGTTTCTAATTCTGATTTTGCTGTGAATGCCTCAGAGAATCCTTTGTCAGATGACCCACTTGATGAAATGTTTTCAATTCTGGACATCGGTGGACAAAACCTATCGAGAATAGCTGGTATTGCATCTGCAAATGAAGCTCCAAGGACTATAGTTTCTAGATCCATCTCTAATGTTGATCTGAAACTTAAGTTGCAATTTTGCAAGGTTCGATTTCTGCTTCTCACTAGAAATCTAAAGCAAGCGAAGCGTGAAGTCAAGCATGCAATAAATGTTGGTAACGGGAGAGATTCAGCTATGGCTCTTTTTTTGAAGGCCCAGCTTGAGTATGATCGTGGGAACCACCGTAAAGCCATCAAGTTGTTAATGGCATCAAGTAATCAGACAGAGGCTGGCATTGCAAGCATGTTTAACAATAATCTTGGCTGTATTTACTATCAGCTCAGAAAATACCATACATCAGCAGTGTTTTTCTCAAAGGCATTGAATAATTGTTCATCTCTTCAGAAGGACAAGCCTCTACACCTATTAACATTCTCCCAGGATAAATCCCTTCTTATGATATATAATTGTGGCTTGCAGTATTTGGCCTGTGGGAAGCCAATACTAGCTGCTTGTTGTTTCCAGAAGGCAAGTTTAGTTTTCCACAAAAGACCCCTCTTTTGGCTCCGGCTAGCTGAATGCTGTCTAATGGCTTTAGAGAGGGGACTTATCAAGGCTAGTCAAGCTCTATCAGATCGAGCAGAAGTTAGAGTTAATGTTATTGGAAAAGGTAAATGGAGGCAACTTGTAATTGAAGATGTAATTTCAAACAGGCTTGTGGATTTTGTTGGAAAGGTTGATCTAGTATTCGGCAGTGATGGGCAGCCTAACCTCTCGCTGCCACTTGCAAGGCAGTGTCTCTATAATGCATGGCACTTGTTAAATTGTTCTGAATTGAATAATTTAAAGTCTGGTTTGCCTGCATCCTTAGAAGAAAATGAATCAAGTGAAGTGGTATCTTGGAAGACTTCAAACCAGAAGAACTTACCCAGCATTGATTCAAAAGCCTCAACTTTATTGGTAGGTTTAGGTCAGGTTAATTCTAATGGCAATGCAAGAGAGCAGAAGGGAGGATCAAATCAGGGGATCATACAGAACTCAATCTCCTATTATGAGGAGATTTGCAGGAAGGGGAATCAGATGATTAAGCAAGCTCTTCTTGCTGACCTGGCTTATGTAGAGTTAGAATTGGGAAATCCTTTGAAGGCCCTCTCTGCTGCAACATCTCTCTTAGGAATACCTGACTGTTCAAGAATTTATGTCTTTCTAGGTCATGTGTATGCGGCAGAGGCCCTTTGCTCTCTTAACAAGCCAAAGGAAGCTGCAGTGCATTTGTCAATTTATTTGTCTGGAGACAGCAATGCTGAGTTGCCATTTGGCCAGGAGGACTTTGAGCAATGGCGAGTGGAGAATACTGTTGACTGTGAAGAACTTAATGAAGAATCAGTGACTGCCAAGAATCCTCCAGAGGACTGGCATAATCTCATGTTTCTGAAGCCAGAAGAAGCACGTGGAACCCTTTATGCAAATCTTGCTGCTATGTCAGCAATGCTAGGTGAATTTGAGCGGGCTTACCATTTTGTGACGCAAGCGTTGTCTCTGGTACCTAACAGTCCAGAAGCTACCGTGACTGCAATTTATGTTGATCTCATGCTTGGTAAGTCACAAGAAGCACTAGCCAAATTAAAACAATGTAGTCGTATCAGGTTCCTCCCGTGCAGTTTACAATTGAACAAGTCATCCTGATGGTTGTAGAGTTGTTTTAGTTCATTCCTATGGGCCTAACGTTTGGTGCTAGTTAGTGGTTAGATTGAAATCCTTTCAGAGGATTTGTATCATATATATGGTTCACTTCAGATATTAATTCTATCATTTTTTTTTTCTCCCTTTTCTTCATAGTTGGGGTTTATTTTGTCAATGGCGAGGCTGGGTGTTCTGGCAAAAGAGCTGATGCCCACATTTTGAATATAAGATGTATTTTTGGTTCAAGATTATTGTAATTTAGTGGCCAATCCAATCCACTTGGAATGGATGTGAAGAATAGAGATAAAAATGTGATTGAATTGAGATTGGGAACAAAATAGGTTTTATTTAATTATTACGGATTTAATTCCAGGTTTGATTTATTCTGTGGTGAATCTCCTCACCGGGGAAGCTGATTAATCTTCTATTTTATATTTTTAATATTTTTATTTATTGATAATGATGTTTATACCACAAATAGCAATTTCTGTGGTGATGCTGCGTGTTTCAGCTAGAAATTGAACGGTGGAGATTTTGCCTACTCAAAGGAAGATGTAAAGCTGACTTTTGGTGGGGATTTGGTGCGTTGAAGTCCATGGAAGGATACAAAAATTCAAAAGCTCAAATTTGATGAGCTTCTTTCACGTGGCAGAAGGTGATGCAATGGCTTTAATCCATTTAAATTTAAACTAAAAAGAGCTTTGGGAGTTTAGAACATGAACGAACCATCAATGTCATCAGCCATCGTGGTTTAATAATAAAGTTATTTATGATTTTAACTACAAGTTTAAGATTTATTCTTTAACCTCAACATACCAATTAAAAATAAAAAAAAAGAAAAAGAAAAAAGAAGAAGACAAACCATTAGTTGGGTCACTTAGGCTTATTGATGCAACAAATGAATGAAATAATTATGTGCAATAAGAACACGGTTTTACTGTGCAAGTATAATAGTAGCATTGCACAAGGATATGGAGGTAAACCAATGCACATCTCATCAAAGCAATTTTTTACCTTTTTTTTGTCCATTAAATCTATTCAAATTATTAGAACTATTGAAACAATTAAGACACGAAATTGGTATACATTGTTTAATAAGAGATATTCATTGAATTGATTAGAATATTATACACATTTTTCTCTTCCTTTTACCAGCGTTTTTCCCTCTAGGCTTTTCATGACAATGTTTTTAATGCAGTAGTTTACTAGCATATAATAAAAACAAGTAAACATTCAAACAAGAGTGTTGTAAAATAAATGTGGTCATTACATGTTTTTATTATCAACCGAGACAAGCAAAAGTCATTCCTTGCATGGTGGTTATATTTCTTTCATTCCAATAGATGCCCAACGGATTTCTTTGCATTGAGAATGATTTACAAATTAGACTCCAAATGGAAGAGGTGATTAATAAAGGCAAGCTAATTTTTGTACAATGAATTGAGCTGGTGGTTATACTTCCCTCCATGGCCAATCCTCAGTAAAACAAGACATACCTTTAAACTATTTTCATTCTTCTTTTTACTGTCTTTGTTTGTCTTTCTATTTCTTGTTTTATTCCATTTTTCTATCTTTTTTCTAAAACATTCAATCTTTTTATTTTTCCTCCCTTTTCAGAAGTATTAGTTTTTCTTTTCCTCTCCAGAAACATGGGTTATCAACACATGTATGTTCAAACAAATTTCGATCCTACACTACAACATATAAAAATAGAAGACACAAATACTAAATACCAAAATCCCTTCAAAAATTAACATGAAAATACCTAGCCAATTATTTTTTTTTAAATACTTAATAAATAAGTTAAAGCCCAGTTATTTTCTATATAAAGTTGACTTTAGTTTGTCTATTACCATGCAATCACATTATCTAGCAAACCCATTATTAAATATTATGCATCTTCAATTATTATTATTGATGTATAATTATATTGTCTTTCAGAATATAAAAATTGAGGATATATTTGATTTGAGAGAAACGAAGAAAAAAAAAAGAGAGGAAAGTTTTTTCATCCAATCAAATTAAAATTTTAACCCAAAACATTAAAATTGATTTAGATAATTTATAATTGCATAACTGTTACATGCTTATCCTGTATCCTCATCCCTGTCACCTTAACCCAAAGAAAGAGATATTTATTGCCAAAGATGTCCTTTAATCCACATTAGCATTCATATGGAAAAGATGGACCAAGTATAAAGAAAAGATAGCGTGAGCTAACATGCATTTAGCTGTTAGTAATAAGGACCAATTTGCGTCTTTGGAGGGGTTTAAGGGCTAATTTGCATCATTCAAGAGATTTGAGCACTTATTTGCACAATTTTTAATTTAGGGACTCACATATTAGTTTGGAGTAAGTTTGGGACTTAAGAGGGGGGTCTTGCCTTTGAAATACCATCGGATGATGCAATTGGGCTAAAGTGGGCCCTCACCAATAATAATCCATTAATAACATTTGGGCAGTACCACATGCACTGCCCCAAAGTAAAAAAGGGTGAAGAATTGGTGGGCTTTTGTAGTCCGGTTCGGTTCATTAAAAAAATTTCAGTCAATTGCAATGGTATCATCATATACTGAGTAAATGCGCATAGAGACATACCGAATCACTGATTTAGAACGGACCTTAAAAAGTCCATGCCCAAATAATAATGGTACCTCATTCCCCCATTTTTTTTTATTTTTTTCTTCTAACCCCACGCCACCCCAAAACCAATAACCTTATCTTCTCGTCCCAACGACCCTTTTACCATTCTGGTCCAATTAGACTTTCGGGTCAGTTCTAAGCCCAAATCTCTATCTCCTCCTTCCTCAACCCTTCTCCGCCAATCTATCGCTGGAAAACCCTAGATCTTTCGCTTTGGGGCGGCCTGAAATCGGTCCACGAGCTTAAGTTGTGCGGCGAGATCGGGCCTTTTCGGTTGGGTCAAAGGTAAAAACTTTAACCCACCCTAAATTTTCTTTTGGCTTGTGAGGCTATCTCTCTGTTTC